TATGGGTGCATTTGGACAGGGAACAGCAAGGCTGGGGTGACAAGATATGAGGGGGTATCTGAAGGACCTGACTCCCCAGAATCCTTTATTCTTTCCCCAAGCTTTCTTGTCACAGAATCTAATAATCAGTATCCTCCTCCTCATCGCTTTCCAGTTTCAAAGCACATTCACGCACAGGTCATTTAATCCTCATAACCACCCTTTAGGATAGATAGGTATTATCCCCATTTTCAGATGAAGAAACTGAGTCTCAGAGAGAACTTGCCCAAGTTCATACAATGGGCAAGTGTTGGAGCCGGGACTCAACCCCAGGTCTTCTGATTCTAGGTCCTGGGTTCTACCCACACTACCACACTGTCTTTGCATGTTTAGCCTCTCTCTGGAAACTCGAGAGAGCAATGTCTAGCAGCTTCACCACAAACACTATACACCTTTGGACAAAACAAGAGAAGAGAGGCACAGGGAACTGGGGTCCTCTTTGATCCCTTATGAACCTGTCTATACTGGTACAGTAGCAGTCTAAGCAGGGGAGCATGCCTCTACAGCGGTGTGGACACCAAGCCCAGGACATCACAAAAATAAACATACAGGTACACTTGACCTCTTCAACAGGTGACATAGCACACTCCTTACCAGGGTGGTAAGGAAGCTATACCTTTAGTTCAGGGGAGGCTGAAGAGGTCAGAATTCTGGGATTCTGTTCTCTAAGTCCACAAGATTTATTTACCCCTCTGGTGAGACCTCAAGGAAGGGGCAGCTCCTCAATCCTTAGCATATGGGAGGAGTGAGAAGGGAGGGACAGGGAACTATCCTCCATGCCCTTGCCAAAGCCGAGCCCAGGAAAGGGAGTATCAGTGGAACCAGGGACTAGCTCCTGAGCTCAGAGAGCTGGGCCTCAACCTCAAGGATTATCAGTGAGACCACTGCTGCCAAACCCAGTTGAGCCCTTACGAGTCACAGTGCCTGGGCTCTAGAAACACTACCAGCTTCATGGGCTTTGGCAAATCACTCACCCTCTATGATTCAATTTGCTTCTCCAAAAATGTGGCTAATGACTGCTGGGTCTAGCTCAGAGGGGTGCTTCAAGGTTTCCAGGACATAAACAAACTGAAATGTTTTAAAATGTACTTTATGAACACATGCTTTCATTCTTCCATAGCTGGCAAGGGGTGACCCACTCACTCCTTTCCAGGCAGCAGGAAATTACACACAGGTTGGGAAGCAAGAGGGCATCAAGCCAGAGTCTCTTCAGGAAAGACTGGGCTGCCCTGAGGTAGGGGGGCTGCCCATGCTCGCTTACACTCTTCCTTTCCATTTGACCAACCAACATTTACCAAGCATTTACTACAGGACAAGTGCTTTTCTGTGTGAAGATAAGGCAGCGAAGGAAAGAGAAAATGGCCCTGTCACAGTTTATTCTAGTTGTGAGAGACCAACAAGTGAACAGCAAACATGTCAAACACTGGCAGGTTCTATGCTGAATTAAACTGGGTAAGGTGAGTAGTGGTGGTAGGGAGGCACTATTTCATACAGGATAACAGATGCCTGAGTAAAGACATGAAGGAAGTGAGGGGACAGTTTGGGGGACAGCCACACCTTAGGTCTAGGCTAGTGGACACTAAAATTCTGGAGACACACATATCCATGGCAACAGAGACAACTCCCTACCATGCTGGTTCGGTTTGCTCCCCTTGGATTTACTCTCCACTCTTCTCTTTCCTGCTCTGTTGCCTCCAGATTGCATCCCTGGGTCAGCCTTGCCATCTGCCTTTCAGTTATGTTTAGCCAAAGGCCCCAGAAGACTGAAGAGGATGAAAGGTAGGCTATGGACAATCCCGCTCTCTTTGCCTGGCCCCAGTTCTGACAGTGACGGCATTCCTCTATACCACAATGTCCATCTGCCTTCCACAGCTCCTTCTGGAACCCATCCCCACAAAGCCTTGCAGAATTAGCCTTCCAGATGTGCAGGTGTACCTACCTGTGAAGGGATATGTTGTCCATGGATACCAGCTGGATGGCCTCTCCCACCAGGGCAGGAAGGGGAGTTTGGGTGCTAGAGATACCCGTCACAGACAAAATGTGAACCATGGCCTCACTCCCATCCCTCAATGCTCCAGCTCTTATCAAATTATTCACACCAGCAAAAGCAGAAACAGAATTTGGGGGTTCTAGAGTCCCTTAGGACCTCACTGCCCCAGACGTAGAACCCTCTCCAAGATCCAGCCCAACTTCCCACCTGAAGGAATTCAATCTACTACCTCCAACAATCAATAGCTCATTACCCAATTTATTTCCTTGATTGTACATTTAGCACTATTGGAAAAAGCTTATCAATGTGTAGGCCTGCTCTACCTGATTAGACTATGTATGCCATTGAAGCACAGAACTTATCTTGCTCTCTGTGACAGCATCCTAGGCTCAAGCACACAAAACTCAGTAGATGTTTTTGCGTCAGTGACAACGGAAAGGAGTACAAAGCACCTCTGCTCCCTGACACTTCCACAGGGATTGTAACAACTGCTTGGCATCAGGGGTGGGCAGATACTCTCAGAAGTACTGCCCATCTCTTCAGGTGTGTGGGGGCAGGAGCCCCCAAGTGGGATAATGCAGGAGCCAGAGAATCACTCAGGTTTCTAAAGATCTAAAGATCCCCCACTTCTCCATTTCTAAGTGGCTACAGCCACTTAGCTGATAGTGTACAGGCCTCAGGGAAGCACAGAAGGAAGAATAGGAGGGCTACGAGCTCCTTGGCCAAAGGAGGGCTTGGCCAAAGGTTCTAAGAAGCTAAGCTCCTCCAGGTCCAAGACAGCAGCTGGAAAACTGCCATCTGGACCTGGGGCTGGAAAACAGGGAAGGCAACATGTGCTATACCAAAAACCCCAAATGTGGCTCAGCTGGCCATCTCCAACAAGGGACCTAGAAAGCCTTGTTTGTGGGTGAGTACTGCTGGCTCATTTTCCCAATTAAGGGGCCTCAGACTAGACCCTACAAATAAGACCTGATTCAAGCCCATCAGTCTCTCTTTACCTGATCTTCTCTTCAGCCCCCATTCCACTCCACCCTACCCTCTACCCCCACCCATGTGTGGCACCACTGTCACCAGGGCAGCCCTTTGGACTCCCCTCCCCTCCAAAAAACCCAAACAGCTCAGAAGTGCATCAATCGACCTTTAATGTCCAAAAGAGGCATGGATGCAGAGCATAGGAGATGTGGTGGGGTCTCAGCCCCTGCTCCAGAAATGAGGGAGAGATGAACACAAACCAGACATTTCCAACTGGCCACACAAGTCTGGGAAGGCAGGGGGAAACACAGATTTGGACATTCATAAAAAAATGAAACCTAAAACCAAGCACTCAATCTTGTGCCCACTGAAGGGTTTGATATGGGGAACTCACTCACCATCCCAGTACCCACCCTCCCCTGTCAGCATCAAAAAGAAAGCTCGGCACACACTAAAGGCTTGGGGAGGGGGAATTCTCCTGCCTCCCCACCAGCCCCAAGGATGGACTCAGAGAAAAAAAAAAAAAAAAAGAAATAAGAATGAGCTGGATCCCAACCACCCCCCTCCCACAGTGCCAACCCTACAATGAGAGTTTTAGATGCAATTTACAAGAATCAGCAGCCCTGTCAGCAATGACCCCCCCACCCCCATCCCTGTTTGATCAACAGACAAGATTTCCCCCTGCACTCTCCTTGGAATCTCCTCCCACTAGCGGCCCTGCTCACGTCCTGATACCTGGCTTCACCACTGCAAGACTAATCCCCTCCAAAGTTCCTCCAAAGGTCCTTGCAGCCCTTTATCACTTCCATCCCCACCTCCCATAAGGACTGCAACCACCCACAAAGTCACTTTCCCTCTCCACTAAGAATCAGTTCCAGGGCAGATGGCATCATGGCCATCTCCTCATGGGCTATCCTCCCAAAGCCTTCTGGGGAACAGACAGCCATAGGGCAAGCAGTGTCTGGGCCAGATGGGCGGGGGGGGGGGGGGTTGACAACTGTCTTCACCCCCAAAACAGACACCCCCCAGAGATTAACATAAAGGCCCAATTAGAACTAACCGTGCAGCCTATCTACCCATACACCCTAGAGATTCCACACTGCCCTGCCCCTCCCTCCCCTCTATCCCAAACCGACACACACACACACACACACACACACACACACACACACACACACACA